GTTCCGTGATACAGGACGATGCCGAGCGGCCCCTCGCTCGGACGCAGAGGTTGGTTGATGTTGACTTCTCTACAAACATTGGAATTGATGAGCTAATGTAGTTCCAGTTGGCATGGCAATCGCATGGAAAGGGGTAGGTCGATGCAGACGGAACTCATTCAGCTTTACGCTTCTCAGCAGCTGCCTCGTACAAGCTCGGAGTTTCTGCAAGAGCTCCAGGTAGCCGCTATGAACAGCCAGATGGCAATGCGCCAGAGCCCGAGCCCGAGCCCAAGCCAGACCCAATTTCGCAATCGACGAGCTTCTAGCGTTGCGGCCTCTTCGATTGCCAGGACGACCTCGGATCTGTCAACCTACGCCCCGATGCGACGGCGCTCCGTTATTCAGACGCCGGGCGTAGCAACGCGCCCAAGGCGAGATGACATGCTCACTATCCCAGACAAGTCTGCTGCTCGGAAAAGCCAACCAGTCTTTGCAGACGAGCAATGTGCCTTCAAACCCAATTCCAAGGCGCCAAGGCATCTTTCCATGCCTCTCATCAACATGGGGTTTGCGCCATTGGAGCGGGCCGTCACCCCTTGCGAATCCGACTACAAGCAGCTCGGAGCTATCAAGTTTGGGTCTTTGGTAATCACGAATGCTTCGCCCCCTTCAAGCCCTCAAGATACGGTCAAACAGCATCAGCCCGAACCGAGTACAGAGCAGCCATCTGGAGCAATGCCTGATGATGCGGGCATTGAACTGAACATGGCACGTCGCAAGAATCGCCCCGTCGTCACTGTTCCACAGGAATCCCGAGCTTTAGCATCCGTCACAGGTTTCAGCTTGGATGGGAAAGCTTCACAGCGGCCGGTACAGACAGAGAATCCTCCCTTGGACGATCTGATGCCCAGTCCGCTGTCCAAAGTTCCTAGTCCCCTAATGGGATACGTTGTCGAGAGGGAAGACACTGAGGCGGCCTCTGGCAAGAGTATCGGAGTATGGAGGTCCAACAGTGGCTTCTCTTCGACGACTTCATCTGCATCTTCGCGAACAAACTCCAAGACGGACAGTGGCTACAGCTCTAATGTTTCAGAACGTTCTTTTCCGAGCTCAAGCATTACCGATACTAGCAGCCAGGGCCCATCTCGACGATCGACGTTCGAACAGCCAATCATGACTCCCCTCATTAGTTCCATCGACAGCTTGAAGAAGAACAGACAACTGTACAAGCCATTTGTGCGAATGGAAAGAGACAAGGCCGGCGCTTCATCCACCGAAATGGCCAGGGATGTCACTGCACCTGGCTCTGTCTTCACGAGACCCAAGGTTAGACGGCATGAAAAGCACCTCATGACCTCCTCGTCTGGCCTACTCTTGCACAGAATGGATGCCAGCACCGCAACCCTCAACACCATCTTGAGCGTCGACAACTTGGTTTCCTCTGACAACACGGCAGCTGGCCGCAGCGATGCCGAGGTCGAGGTCGTCGTAGAGGAGTCCAAGTCACTGAGGAAACGACGGTCGCTGCGCAGAGTTGCAGAAGCTGCGACGTCAAGGATGCCATCCCTGGGTCTGAGCCGTCGAAAGTCAGCTACAGGGAGTGTGAGCGTGAGCTCTTCGAGCAAGGCTGAGGCGGAAAAGAGAAGACGAG